AGCTCACGGAGGATAGGTGTAACATGGGTGTATCTAGGTACACCCAATATCGCTCGCGCGGCTGCATTCTGGAGCAACTGCAGTCTTCCAACACTCTTCAGGGGCAGCCCCATGTAGAGCAGCAGACTCTGAGTCTGCTGCTCTGAGAAGTAAACTAGTCTAAATTTATCTTATCTGCTCTGAACTCTGAAATGAAACTGTTCTCTCCTGCTTGTAACTTCTACCACATCGAAAGAATCTACTACTGTATTAATCCAGTTCAATCAGTTATCTGTGTGTGCTTTCTGGATTTGATTTTTCTGCAACAAACTCTGACAATTGTTACTACCAAACAGAATACCTTTGACAGTATGCTATTTTTTCTGGCATTATATTGGACATTTGTGAATAATGATCCATTATAGTTTTTATAATGCTCAATTATAGTTTTTATTTATTCTAAACATACTGATCTCTAGCAAGTTTTCTTTTACACCTAATCTTTGTATGCAGTTGCAATCTTTAATTCTCATGGCTGTAAAAAATTCTTTCTTTGACCCAGCTTTAAACATTAACAAGTTTTATAGGATTTATCTGAAACAGATTGATTCATCAAACCAATTTTTACACACAATGAATAAACAGATAACTTGGTCCCAGGGCTTGTAGCATGATGTGTTTTTTTTCTTTTTAAGCGCAAGGATATTTAATGGCTTTTCATCATTCTGTTTAATTCACATTATTTATTAGACTGCTTTAACCCTGGCACTTTAAACTTTATGAATGGAACATAATACAAATTGTAGTATTGTGTTGACCTATATTTAATCTCAATAATGTCAGCAGGCTAATTTTTTTTCTTTAAAAAAAAAAGACAATAGAGGCTATTAATAATTTAGCAAAAATCATCCTGGACTTGTGTGAGGACTATTAATCCAGTGTTATTTCCCTTGCCCTGTACTCTATCCCACAGGATTTGTGTGGCTAGGATGAAAATAATATATAATATCTGTCAATCCATAAAAAGAACATTCCTAAGAATGCTATTCTGTTTGTGAATTATGCCAAATTTCTTCCTGATAAAAAGCTTTTAACAAAGCATGAGGAGGTCTGAGCAGGAATAGAACCTAAAGTATTAAAATACTTTTTTTAGTGCTTACTTAAAAGTTTTTTTAAGTATTAACATTTGGGGGAACACTTTAAAAGTACTTATCTCCAGTTGCCCCTTCTCTGTTTAAAAAAAAATGGTGAAGATTGATAAGCTATTGTGAGTCTATGGAATCACCTTAATTTTTTACTGTTTATAGAATGTGTTATGTTATGTTTGTTGGTCAATGACTGTAATAAAAGATCATTCTTAAAATACACTAAACCTCTTCCGGCTTGGAGGATTTACTTCTGAAAACTGACAAACCATCTTAGAAAGACATGGTCCAGAAGAAGGTTCAACATAATCCTAAGAGAAATGGAACATTCTGGAGTTCTCTGGAACATGTTCCCCTATCAATGATTTCTGCACATTCCTAATGAAAAGAAATTATGAAATTATAAATGATCATAGAGCAATCTCATAAAGTAGTTCAATAAATACAATCAAATTTCATCTGGTGCCTGCAATTTATTATATGCAGAATGACAGCAAGTGTCAGAAAAAGCACAACATCATGGAGGTACAGTTAGTGAGTAGGCCCAGAGGCAACATACCACTTTGGCACAATTGATCAGCATAATTTATACAAACACACTAATAAATACATAATAAATCATTAGAAGAATAGCAAGGACTGATCTGGGGCTACCGTGGCACATAGATACCACTGGCAATGCCAACATTATAAGTATATTCTTTATTATCATTGTACTTAAATACAACAAAATTGGTTATTATCCCACAAGTCAAGCACACCATGGCAGGGCAGGGGGAAAACACACATTCACCCCTCCTCTAGAACAGTGGTGTATTGTATCAGGCACAGGCAGGAGCTAAAATATTTACTGATGAAATTTATCAGTTCGCCCGGTAAGGGGGGAAAGCGGGGGGGAATCAAGTTCTTGGTTTTTTTTAGGCAAGAATATCTGGAGGCTGTGACCACAGGAGAATTACCAAAATAAAGTGAATCAGTGCTGAACACTGTGGCACAAAAATTATTGTATGCAACTTAGTTTGATGCAACAGTAGCAATTCCATATACCAAAATGAAATTGGATAGATTAAAGAAACGTTTAACTTGATAAGACTCAAGACAGAAAAGGGGGATTAAAATTTTAAGTCATTAATATATAGTCTGGACATTGAGTTCCTTTTGACAGCTGTCATTTTCTTTCCTGCACAAAACAAAGCACTTTGGAACAGATCCTGTGGAGGAATTTACTCAATTCTGTTAGAGTGGCTCCTGTATTTAGCTTCAAGGTCTTAGTTCTTATGACTCCTGGATCAGCTAAATTGTTTGAATGAACTTCAACTACGTAAACATCCACAGGAATAAACCCAAAGGACCATTTTGTGGAGGCTCAATGTCATATTTTCTGAATATGTACCTGATATTTCCTTTTCACAGCTTAGGTTCATGGAGAAGAACTCCAAAATGGGCATGGAATGGCAGTGGTTATATTTAAGCCTGGGGACAAACACTATAAAAGCACATCAAGCACATCACTATGCTTCAAAGTAAAGCAACGGCCAACAGTAAGAAGACCACTATTGGCTAGAGTAAAACAAAAATAACTTAAATAAATAGTTACTGTGATGAAAAATAGTAATAAATACTAGTTTGGCCTGTAAACAACCTATTTTCCCCCACATTAGATTTCCTGCTCCCCTACTGTGTCTAAAATAAAACTGATCAAGCTTAAAGAATGAGAGAGGAATTAGTCCCACTCTCTTTATTCTTGAAGAAACACTGGAATGTGATGAGCCCAGATTCAAGAGGGGAGACAGGAAGTGGAAAGGTTGGCAGTCTGGAATGGAAATAGGACTGTTACCCACCCACTTCTCCCCTCATTCATCCAGGCCTGGTATCAAGTCTGCAATGCTGTCCACATAGTAGTGAGGCACCAGGTCCTTAGCTGAAGGGCTGTCACTGGCCATGTAAGCCTGTGCCTCTTCTAAATGAGAGACACCTGTCAGGGTCAAGACAGTGTCAAGGCCACAGTTCTTGCCAAACAGTATATCCGTCTCCAGCCGATCACCCACCATAAGCATGCGGGATGGATCTACACCAAAACGCTCTACAATGCATTCAAACATGTATGTGTTTGGTTTTCCAATTACTGTTGCTTTGCGGCCAGAGGCTGTTTCAACTGCAGCAGTGAGACTCCCTGTCCCTGAAAGAGAAGAGACAAAACAACCACCAATCAAAAGATTGACCTCCATTAGCAGCAGCAATCCAGGCACTGCCTGACATATCTAGGTAATCCAAATGAATGGACCCAATAAAGGATGAATGAAGGGTCATTTTGGGTTCAAACTAGCGAGACAAAGTAAACTTAGTTTCACTTAGATGGATGGGTTATTTTACTATTTATGTGAAATAGATTCACATGATTCTAAAATTTTTACTGCAAGTAACATTATAATCCAAGAAATTCTACCAGCTCAATGGGATCCCAGGTGAAAAATCTTGGATTCCAAGGACTTATAAGTACAAGCTTCCCATTTGTTCAGAAACAGATACATTTGAGTATGTAACATTTCAAGGCTAGAATTAAATATGAATGGATACATTTTATTACACTGTATAAGTGTGTGTGTATGTGTGTGTGTGTGTGTGTGTGTGTGTGTGTGTGTGTGTGTGTGTGTGTGTATATGTATGTATGTATGTATGTATGTAGTGTATTATTGTGT